GCCTGGTGGGGGCCATTGGGAAGTTTGGGAATGGGGAGGTTTGTCCTGATATTGTTCTGATTGATTATCCTGACCCTTTTCCTTTATCCCAATCCTTTTCCTTTATCCCAACCCTTTTCCCTTATCCAGACACTTTTCCTTTATCCTGACCCTTTTCCTTTATCCCAATCCTTTTCCTTTATTCTGACCTTTTTCCTTTATCCCGATACTTCTCCTTTATCCTGCTTCTTTGTTATCACAACATTTTTCATTTATCCCAACCCTTTTCCTTTATTCTGATCCTTTCCCTTTATCCCAACCCTCTTCCTTCATCCCAATCCTTTTCCTTTATCGAAACACTTTTCCTTTATCCCAACCCTTCTCCTTTTCCCTGATACTTCTCCTTCATCCTGCCACATTTTCTTTATCTCAACCCTTTTCCTTAATCCCAATCCTTTTCCTTCATCCCGACCCTTTTCCTTCATCCCGACCCTTTTCCTTTATCTCCAAACCTTTTCCTTTATCCTGAACCTTTTCCTTCATCCCGACCCTTTTCCTTTATCTCGACCCTTTTCCTTCATCCCGACCCTTTTCCTTTATCCCAGCCCTGGAACCAACACCATGGCAGGGACAGAGGGTGTCAATCCCTGTTCCTCCCAAAAAATTCATGGAGAAATCGGATCAATCARGAGCTGGGAAGGACCTTTGGGTGGAATTGGTCACCAAACCCGGGTGGTTTTCCCTCAATCTGGGCCGATCCAGGTCCTGGCAGCGTGATGTGAGGTGCGGCCCCGCAGAGGAGCTTCAGGGAACTTTCTGGATCTCTCCAGATGTGCCCGGGCACAGTGGGAGCTGCCCCGAGGCYCAGATGTGTGGGATCCTACCTGCCCCGCTCATCTGGGGCCCAGATGTGCAGCCTTACCCTTTTTGGGAACAGATGTTCCTTCTCTGGGACACTCCGCACCTTCCCCGGAAGCAGAGAAATCCCAAAAAAAACCCACATTTAGAAACAAATTCTGGCTAAGTGTGGAGAGTTTCAAAATTTTTTAGGGTTTTTTTAATGGTCTTTCAAGTGTGGGGCAGGGGCTTTGAAATTTTTTKGGGGKTTTTTTTAGGGTCTTTCAAATGAGGGGCAGGTGCTGCTCCTCTGGGAATTTCCTCAGGCAATTTCTCACTGATTTGTGGGAGGAATTCCCAAATAAATGGGTTTGGATCAAAAATCTGGACCCGTGTGAAGCGTTTATTGGGAAGCCAGAACACGAAGGAGAAAAAAACCTCTCCAAGGGATGTTTTTTTCCCCCAGTGTCTTCTCCAAGGTCTTCCCCGAAAGGAATTTTGTTTGGAATGCAGAGGTTTTCCGTGGTGATCTCAGCCCGAAGGGGGCAGCTCCGGGGGGATCTCCACCCCCCAAACCCCCGACAGCTGTCGGGAAATCGCAGCTGCAGCTCCCGGCGCTGCCAAGGGGAACGGCGGATTTTTGGGTGATGATAAAATCGGAGCTGAAAAAAAAAAAAAAAAAAAAAAAAAAAAAGAGGAAAAAAAAGGCTGGAGAACGCTGTTAGAGATTTCGGGGAATTTTATGGTCGAGCTGGGTTTACGTAAGACCTGCTTTAATCCTAAATTAGCAAAGGTTCACCCAAAAGCAAAAGGATTTTGGTGTGAGCACGGTTTGGTTCTGSCTCTCAGCAGGGGCCGGGTGGTTCCTGTGGAAAACAACAGTCAGGTTTGGAAAGGGGGAAAAAAATCAATTAATTCGGTGAATTCCTGGTTTTCTTGGGAAAGAGGAAACGGTGACGGGGCTGGAGCTGTCCCCGCCTCGAGGGTTTTGTGTGTTCCTTTTCCAGGACTGGGGACACGTTCTGGGGGCAGAAACAGAGCTGGGCCTGGCTGAGACCCTACAAAATCCACAGGGAACCCATAAATCACCCGTGGAACATCCCTGAAATCCAGGAAGAGCCAAAATTGGGGTCTGAGGACTTGGGGCAAATCCATGTGGGGCCCTCTGCTCGATCTCTGGCCAAAAACATGGAGAAAACCCAGGTTTATTTATTCTACTTGGGTGGAATTTATTTTAATATAAAAATTATTTTAAAAAATTAAATTTAAAAAAAAAATCCTTAATAAATAGAATTTATTTTTAAAAAAATTATATTTAAAATAAGTAAATTTTAAAACATTAAATTCCCCTTTCCCAGACTCATTTGGGGTCATGGGAGGCAACACCCGGCACTGGGATCAGGGAGAWGGGAGAGGGAAAATTCCAGGGAAAATCAAGGCAGAGGAAAAATCAATTCAACATTGGGAAAGGACTTGGTGGCGTCCAAATTCCGTAGGAAATTTGGGAATGGAAGAGCTGAGCTGTGTCCTGAGGGGAGCCCCAGCCTCCAGCTGAAGTTTGCCATCCCTAAAAATTCCCAGTTGTTCCAGTTCTTTTCTTCCTAAATTTTAAAAACTGCAATTCTGAACCCCAAAACTTGATAAGACACAGGAGGAAATTGGGCAAAATGGAAATGGGATTTATCCGGAATATTTCCGTTCCTGCCTTTTTCGAGGCAGCTCTGAAATGGGAATTTCCACTAAAAAAATGTAAATTCCTTAAAATAAGCCAAAGGCTGGAAGCTCTTTCTCTGTAATGACTGGAATAGSGGAATATGATTCCAATTGAATCATCGAAGAATTTAATTGAAAATCAAAAATTKTTGGTTTTCCAAGGTTTTTTTAGCAATGTGGGGAAAGATAAMAGCAGGAAACACCGTGATTAGCATAAAAATGGTGGATGTTTTATCCCTGGGCTGAATTTTATCTTGTGAGGGTGGTGGGGTCTGGTTTTTCCAAAGAAACTCGGGATTCTCCATCCCTGGAGGTGCCCAAGGCCAGGCTGGACAGGGTTTGGAGCACCCTGGGACAGAGGAAGGTGTCCTGGCCATGGAAGGGGTGGGATGGGATGGKATTTAAAGTCCCTCCCAACCAAACCCAGTCTGGAATTCTGGGATTCCCATGACTGGGAAAAATCCGGATTTAAGGGACTTT